ATTTAATTTACCGGGGCTACCGTGATTTTCTAAACGTGCAGTAATGCGAAATTTGATCCTGAATTCCACTATTACCGCTACATATTACGACAAATTTTCAATTCACGAAAGTGCACAGTGCAGATTTTGTTTTACGGTTTAACGTCGTTTAACTACGGGATAAAGGGGCCGGAGGGGGAGAAATCGTGTTTCGTTCACGTGGAAGATCAGACGTAATCGCGATCGCTGAATATCCGCTATGCCGTAACCGGCCGAGGATAAAGCTCGCTTTTATTCGGCGCGATATACTAAGGGTCGTCGAGACAGTCGAGTCGTCACGACCGAGGATCTTTACGATCTATGTAAAATCTGGAAGTTAATCGCGTTTATCGTTTATCTCGTTACACCGCGTTAAAAACTAATACGGCCCTTACCCAGCCGTACCGCGTCCAAGCCCTTGAGCATCGTCCAAAATACACGTTGTATTTTGGAAATATATACACCACTGGAGAGAGGAAGAGAGAGAGAGAGAGAGAGAGAGAGAGATCGTTTACGAGTTTACGCATCTCTGATTTCTAACTTAAACTTACGAACTTGGAAGCAAACAGTACGACTTTGGAGACGCTAGCAATTTTAGCGCAATTTCAGCCCGTTGTTTTTCACTCAATACAGAGCGCGCGCAATACGATGGTTGGTTGTATCGGTGGGCTTAATGAAAACACAGCCATCCGACGCAATATGAGTTATCGATCGGCTCTCCGGTGTACAGATTTTCAAGACACCTCGTGTAAAACATAGTTAGATATATATTTTTTTTTTTGTTTAGGAAGGTACCACGTACGCGCGCGCGTTTCTCTTCCTGCAGACAACGATCGTGCCAGCACGTTAAACCCTCGCGTGATATGTCGTTGTTGATATTCCGAATTTACGATTTAGACTAGCGCTGACAGTATCACTCTCCCCGTGTAATTATACGCGCGTCGTGTGACATGTAAAAAATGGAATGTATGTGTAATCGATTGTTCGCTCGCTTCGCTCGCTCGCTGTCTACAGAGAAACGCGCGGGGGTATTTAAGTACAGAACGTCGTCGACGTGTGTTTCCGAGACTTTCTTGATACGTTTCGTTACGATATCCGATATGGCAAGGATATGACTCACGGGTACAGTTGACAATTACTGATGCCTGACAAGTTTCGCTCGCAGCCCGTGTGCAAAAAGATTTGCCTCGTCCGTATTTCCGGGCTCCGCCCGTCAGGTCGAAATTTCACGTCGGATTCACGCGCGTTCCACACCTCAAGTTCTTTTTCCGCCCTCTTCTCCACGCTGTCGCGTTGCACAGCAAACGCAAATGGATAATCGCAAATACTCGGAGGAAATCTTTCTCCGCGAGGACCGCATACGCTGCACTAGGAAAAAGAATTTAGTATCTCTAACAAAACTGTTTAGTTGAGGCATTTTTTTAATAGCAATCAAATATCTTGTTTTGTATACACAAAATATTTAGTTGTCTCAATTAAATATATTTTTCTGCTTCGTTCTCTGGACCAAGTGATTATGTTCTTAGACTTCGTATATAAAAATTCAGCATTTTAGTTATTTTATCTATAAAAATTGCATAACAACGAAATATTATTTTACATAAACTAAAATAATGCCCAGTGGATACTATTTTATCTTTCTGTGCACTAAAATTTAGATTTTATACATTAAGAAAAAGTTATAGTATTTTTAACAAAATTCATATAGTTAAAGCTTTTTGGTGATTATAACAAAAGTATTACGTTATACAAGCAACAAACCGTAATGAAACAAGATATTTGTTTACAGGAGCTAGACAGTTTTGCTGGGCCAGTTTTAAACAAATTATTTTGTTGTTGCAACAAAATTTTGGTTCACGCAACAATAAATTTTTCCTAGTGTGCGTCACAGACTTTTGCAAGCTGCTTCGTAAAGCGCGATCGATTCCTACGTAACGAATGCCTGTCGTCGACACGTAATAAGACTCTCTCTCTCTCTCTCTCTCTCTCTCTCGAGAGAGAGAGAGAGAGAGAGAGAGAGAGAGAGACGTCGTTCTCTACAAACTATATAAAAATACAAAATACACAACGTCGTTATAGAGATTTCCGGCTAACCGCGACTTCGCCGCTCGTACGAGTGCATGCGGATGTCACCTCATTAGCTATTCGAGAGAAACAGGAAACCGTCGAAAGCAGTCGGATCGGAGCTTCAGAGGGATATCGATTATATACGACATCGATGCGCGAGTGATGGTGCGAGGGGGATGATGATTCGCTTTTTCTCTGTCTCGCATCTACAGAAATATTCAAACTGCTTTCAACGTCATAGATACATGCGACTTGTTACGATAGGCTAATAGATTTCGCCGAGTTTCACTCTACTTCTCGTGAACTTGGCGATTTGTAGTATTGTCGAGAATTTGTTCACCGTTATATCAGTGTGTCGTTACGCTAATCGCACAAGTGTATCACATATATATGTATATATATAAATACGATAATAGTAATATATAATGTACAATATAGTCAATGTACGCGCTTTGTACGAAACGTAACGTACGAAGACGCATCTTTGCAAATTGATATTGTCGTCGTTGAGTCGCCGCTGGCGCGTTCGCGCCGTATACGCGCTATACGAGGCCCGAGGAATTCTGAGATTCGATACTGATTTGCTTTTATTCCGAGCACGCGCGACGCGCGTATCTCCCTCTCGTCTCCGCGAGGACTTCGCCTCGTATATACTCTTGTGAATAATCTTTCCGCAAGCACAACATATTTGGCTACGAGGCCGTCGTCTTCAGCGTCGTTAATCGTGCTCTGTTCTCTCGAGGCGCAATATTCGTTCTCGATGTACGCGTTACTCCCGCGAAACAAATTTGTTCGCGTTAACGCGGCTGAAGACGCGGCGGCGGAAATACAATAATCGTGCGTCACACTCGACATGTATCGATCGCTTGGCAGAAGCGTCGACCGGCAGTCTACGAGCAGTCTATCGAGTCTACTCTAAGAACTCGGTCTCGACGTCGTACTTATGTACGAATATGTATCGCGATATGTACAGTATATTTACAAAATTATTTGCGTAAAAGTACCGTCTCTTACGAGACGGGAATGAGCTTCGTACGTTTACCAGAAACCTGTCAGCTAGTTGCGTAATCGACAAGGGCGAAGGGGAAGCCATGACATCTCCGAGAAACGATAGAAGCGCGATGGTGAGCCGCGAGACACTCGCTACGATTTCATATCAATTTTATTCGCCGCTACGTAATAGATATTATTTGGTATCAATTTTGATTACAGTCGTTATTCGCGCTTTCTCTAAAGATACCTCGCGAAGAGACGAGGCGTCGTGTCGGCTGACGTTTAGACGTCCTCGAACGCGGGCGTGTAACAGTATCGTATACAAAATTGAAAATCAATCTAACTCTTTCCGGTGAACACTTTCTAAAAGAGTCGCGCGTCACGCTTCTCTTTCTCTTTTTTCGCCTCTTTTAAGTATAGGAGGGTGGGGGGGCGAGGGGGGAGCAACGAGATGCAAAGCTCATTGGCGTAACTTGATTATCAGTCGAGAAACGATTTTAATCGTTAAAGCCAGACTCGAAGGCAATTTGTTTCGTCGGCTGTGTCACCCCGACTTGTTTCCTCGGCAGGTCTCGCTCGCTCTCCCTTAAACGCGAACGCGTCCTTCCTTGCGTCGTGTGATCTAAGGATATGTTTTCATCGAGAAGATATGAATCTGACGTGAGAAGGGAGGACATTCGTTCGTGTGATACAGCCTATTCGCTACGAATAAATGCACCGATATATCGCGCTGAGGTACGTACTCGCGCGAGATTTTAGTCCGATTGATCACAAGTAGAAGACGCTCCCGCTCGCGCGAAACGCATCGCGTCGGCAAGGGAAAATTCGAGACTCGGGCAAATTTCAGCGTGAGATCGTGAACCGTGCGGATCGATGGACGGTCTGTCGACGAGAGAGAGAGAGAGAGAGAGAGAGAGAGTGAGTGAGTGAGTGAGTGAGTGAGTGAGTGAGTGAGTGAGTGAGCGAGAGAAAGGGGCTGGGAGGAGGAGAAAGGCAGAGAGGGAGAGAAGGAGCGGGAGCTTGGCGCTCGCTTGTTCTTCTAATCGCGCTTCTCTCTCGATCATAAGTAGCATGTCTTATAGTAAATAAAGGCGACGGTGTCCTTGCCGAAAGTCCGGCACTCCCGCTCGTAGTGCACCTGGCCGGGCTCGTACCTACCGCCTCGCGGATACTTGTCCAGTCGCGACAAGTTCCTGCAGAGTCTGAGGTAATCGTCGTCGAAGGCGAGCCCGTTCTCCCGACGATCCCTGCGCCGGCGGTAATCGTCGAGTCGCTCCTCGCCGCGGGAGGACGGCAGATACGTGACGTCGTCGAGTTCTAAATCCGTTAGATCCTGCAGGCTCTTCGGATACGACGCGCGTCGGCCACTCTCCAGGGAATTGAAGCCGCCGCATGCTTGATCCTTGAAGTTGATGGTCCTGCTGCGCCGCGGTAGGGTCGAGTAATACGGTCTCTCGTCTCCGCCATGATTAATGCCGTTTCTCAAGATCGGCTTAGAGACAGCCGCGGCTCGCTTCGCCGCCGCCGCCGCCGCCACGTCTCTCCGCCAGCCGTCTTCGTCGTCGTAATCCGCCACGTACTCGCGTCTCCTGGAGCGCCGGGGCTCGGTCTCGTGCGAGCGATCGACGTAGCTCGCGTTGCCGCGCGAATTCCGCGGGTACGTGCCGTTGTCGTCGGAGGGCTGGTACGCCGCGCGTTTTTTGCGGCCGTTCCGCGGCGATCGCTCGTAGTCGTCGTGGTTCTCGTGCGGACGCTGCGGATGACGACGACGATGACGGTGGTGATTCTGCCGGAGCGTCGTGCTGCTCGTGTGCTCGTACCGCGTACAGTGCTCGCTTCGGACGACGTCGCCGTTGCTGCTGGGAACGTCGAAGGCGCGCGGCGTCGGCGTCGGCGTCGTCGTCGTCGTCGTCGTCGTCGTCTCGTCGAAGGAACGACGAATCGGCAGCAGACCGCGAGACTGCATAAAGCTCTCGACGTTCTTGCCGATTCGATTGGTCTTCTCGGCGAAGATGCCGCAGTAGTCGGACAGCTTGCGCGGGTGGGTGGGTCCGCGCGCGGACGGCATCGCGACGTTCGACGTCGTCGCGGCCAACGGCGGCGCCATCGCCGACGTCGCTGCCGCCTCGTTGCCGCTGTACAGATCCCGCGGATCGTGCTCGTTCGGATAAGCACTTCCCGGTAAAGGCTTGTTCGCCTTCTCGAGGTTCGAGAGGCCCCCCGTCAGCGAGGCCTTATACTACCGTGCTTGCGCATAATCCGGATTCATCTCGTCCAGCTGTTTGCCCTTCGTCTCAGGGACGCAGCAGACCACGAAGCACAGCCCGCACACCGCCACGGCGGCGTAAAACCAGAAAGCCCCGTGTAGACCGAGAGTCTGGAAGAAGAAATTTGCCTTTCTGCGTAATCCTTCGCGATTCGGGCCGCGATATCGGCTTCGGTTGAGAACGAGAGGAGAGAGAATTTCCTCACTCTAGATATATCCTTTCCTTGTAAATCTGCGCGCGCGCGCGCGCGCACGCGACGTTTGCACTCGTCCCGATAGATCCGGTCTCGATCGTCTCGCGAGAGTCTCGTGTTCAAAGAACTCAAACTTGGTCTTTGTACTTTATGAAGGAAAGAAGGGAGGGAGGGGGGTAGAGTAAAACGCTCACCTGCTGAAAGTCCATAAAGAGCTTAATTCCGAAGAACGCGCAAAAGTAGCTGAAGCTCGTGCTGATGCTGGAGCCGAGACCGCGGTACTCCAAGGGGAACAGTTCGCCAATCAATAGCCAAGAAATTGGCGATATGCCCAGGGCGAGGGCGGTCGTGAACACGAGCACGCAAAGCAGCGGTATCCAGTCGTGCTGGCCCACCACCGCCGAGTCCACGTAGCCTAGGTTTTGCGTTTGCGACACGTAATACGCGTAGCTGCCGAAACCGGCGAGCGCGAGGGACATGAAGACGGTGCTGGCTATGAGAAGCGGCAGTCTCCCCACGATATCGATTAAAAATCCTGCAAATCCGGCAAAAAGGGAGCCCCTCCCGTTAGCGAGTAGAATACTTACTGTAGACTTGCAGACGCGACATTCCCGCGACGAAATCGGGAAATTTTCGGAAACTTCAGGTTTGCGCATTTTAGCATCGAGCGTCGAGGGTGTGTGGGTTGTTTATAATTCGCGATACGTTGAACATGTAACAAGGTTACCTGACAGCAACGCGGCGCACAGTTGCACGAATCCGATCGCAATGGTCGCTCCATGGGGATTCATCCCGCCCAGGGTCTGGCGAAAAATGAGCACCGCGTAGTAATTAAACGCATTCGCGCCGGAGAATCTCTGGAAGAACATGAGGCCGCATGTGATGGCGATGGGTTTGTACAGTCTCGGCGTGAAGACGCTGTTCTTGAAGCTCAGCTCGTATTGCTTGGCCCTCGATGCCAGTATGTTTGTCTTGATCACCTGCAAACACATCGCTGATTAGGAATTAGAAATTAGAAAAGGACGCGCGATAATAATATGAAATCGTTATTCGCCGGCCGATTGTTATTCTCTTCGGAATTACACGTGAATTACACGAGAGAGAGAGAGAGAGAGAGAGAGGAGGGGAGGGAGGGAGGGAGGTGCGCGTTCGCTTTCTCGAGTTTTCTCGAGTCACCTGCAGCTCGTGTCGTATATCCACGTGTTCTCCGCGCAGCCACTGCAAACTGCTGGCGGCTTCCTCGTCTTTGCCGTTGAGCACGAGGTACGACGGCGTCTCGGGTATAAAGAGGGTCCCCAAGAAAAGCATCGACGGCGCGACTGCCACTAGTAACGCGCTTTGCCGCCAATTGAGGTATGTGCCGGCTATGTACGACAGCAAGACGCCGACGTGACCCAGCACCTTCAACATCGCCGACAAGCACCCTCGGATGCCCGGCATCGAGATTTCTGATATGTACACCTGACGAGAGAAAATCACTCGTGCGACAAATCGGTCTCGGGCGCGCAAGCTGACAAGCGGATCGCGGCCGATCACTCGTCCCGAGGTTAATCAGCCTCACCTGAGCCACCATGGTGATGACCGAGCAGCAAAGGCCGCCGACGAAACTGGTGACATACACCAGCTCCACGCAGGGCGCCACCCCCGTTATTATCCAGGCAGCCGCCAGGGGTAAGGACGTGACGCGCAGAGCTAATCGCCGCCCTCTCCTCATGATCCAGTCGCCGATCATGGCGCCGAACCACGCGCCCAGCATGGACAGAGAAGCGACCCACGAAGCCTCCTGTTGCGTAACCGAGAAAGCCGACCTGCGACAAATGGAAACGCGATTACGATCGCGCGTCATATTATCGGTCGACGCGAGTTCGCCCGGCCGAATCTAATCCCGATCAATCGGCCATTGTCCGGCGGCGTCAGGCAGACGTCAGGTGCAAATGCAATCACTCTCGGCCGCGCGGCGTCTTGGCTGTCGCGAGTATTATTTGCGAACAGCTTCCGAGTCGAGTCTGTCGCGTGCTGTCACATTGCCTGTGTCCCGAAATTAGCCGCCAGGGCCGTACGCACCGCGGACAAGTCCGACGGGGAACGCGCGTCGTGCTCGAGAAGACGTGTCCCGTTGACGCGCGGCGGTCACTCTCTTGCGCACCGGTATCTCTCAACACGCGCACGAGCCTTACGGCCTTATTCTTACCATGTGTCATTGTTGGACGACTGGTAGAGATGGGGTCGTTGATTGTCCAGGATAGAGTCCAACGCTGGCGAGGTGTAGCCCTTGGCCAAGCCGGAAGAAAGGGTTCCCATGGATAACGCCAGGGTCGCCAGAACCTAGTTGGACGGACGACGAGACAGAGGATAAGAAGCGTCACCGCTAAGGGCGCGCACTCACGCGCGCGAATCGGCCTTTGTAATTGTAATAACAATAATAATGTTTCCACGTGGACGCCGGTGAATTTATGCGGTAGCATGCAGGAGCGCGCGGCGCGCGTATACATATAACGTTCCGTCAACGTTCGCTCGTTCGTTCGTTCATTTACGTCGCCGGCCGGGCGCAATTTATGCGTGTGTATTCCTCCGTTCGCAGGCTGCTCCGTATCGCTCTGTAAAGATCGCGCCCAGTTACGCCGCGTCGAAAAGACTCGTAACTTCCACCGCGATTTGTGGTCATTTGATCTCCGCTATCCGCGGCGCGCGCGCGCGCGCGCGCGCAAATTTCCAATTTCAGCATTCCGCGTCTACCGCGATCGGACATTAAGTCCATCCGGTTTCGCGCGGAGAGCGCGAATGTAAATGTTTCTCCGCTCTTTATCGGCCCTCTCTATATCCTTTTTCGCCCCGTTGGCCTTTTCTCATCGAATCCAGCAGTGTCTCATGATTACGAGTGCGATTTAGAGTAACGCAAAAGCGGCAGCTATGCCGGGCGTACATTTGTATTATCCGTCGCGCGCGTAGCATGACGCTCCAATAATACACACGCACACAGACACACACCTGGAGCGCGCGTGTCGCGCATTCGTACTCCCGCAGGGTGCAACCGGCGAACAAATTGCTAGCCGCAAATTGAAAGCTGGGCTTGGTCTCGCGAGGAATACTAAACATTTCGCGTGGCCCGCGCTTATGTACATACGCGTACATACATGTACAGCGGCTATTTCAAAGTGCCACGGCGGCATGTACATCGGCGCGCCATATGTATCCTCCGTGTGACAATGAACGGGGCACGAGTTCCTCGTGTGCATTCCGCTCGTATGCAACCATGAGGGCGTATCGTTTTTCCGGCTGACGCCGCCGCCGTCGCCGCCGCCGCCGCCGCTACATAATTCCGCGACTAACGAAGAAAAATCGCAAGCGTGTCCCGGTATCGCCGCGACACCGCGATACATAAACGGTCCTCTTCCGTCTCTACGTATCGACGTACGTGGAGAACTACTCCGGAGGAGGGACGCGGAGGAGGGAGCAACGCTTCCGTCAGCGCAGATCGGCGAGTTCTATCCGGCCGATCCGCGTCAAGCCAATACCGGTCATTTCGACATCTCCGTAAGCTTCTCACGTCCCGTCCCGTGCAGTCGCGCCCATTTTTCGAGCACCCGCATCCGTCCCTGCACGCACGCCGCTCTCAGGATCCGCGCGATTACAGCGGCGTGGCGAGTGACGTAAGAAAATCTGCCGCGAAATATCCCGTGGCGTGGCGGCATGCTCGTTTTTCGCAGCGAGCGGGGTCAGCGTTGAGTGCAGCCTCCGCGCGTGCGCGCGGTATCCCGATCCTTCTTCTCATCAACTCTTCTACCAACACTCGGTGTTTTCGCCGCGCGCGAGGAGAGCGCCCCGATCCCGATGAAACGAAAGACCATCTGTCGTGCCGGGATTATCGGCGATTTATCAAGCCGCGAGGCGAGTGTGGCCTGACGCGAAATAATTCACCTCGGCAACTAGTTTCTCGATCTGCGCCTAATTACCCAATCCGCTCGTTTAAGCGAACGTTAAGCGCCAGGGATATCTTTCCATCCTTCTCGCCCCGCGCGAATACGCAGAGCTGATCCGCGCGCACTGATCCATAAAACCGCATTACTCATGATAGCCGTTATAAGACTTCGCGGATACTTGGCGCGTTAAACTCTGACCTTTCGTCGATGCGAATGTGCAATTTCAGCGTGTGCGCTCGCAATTAGCGCGAAGGTACCGATAGTACGACTTGGACGCAACCCGGCGACCCGTCGTAACTCATATTCGTCGGAACGAGACGAGACCGCGTGCTCGATAAGGAATTTCACGCGGCGCCGATCCCACATAAATTTGCATGCACTTTCAATTATCTCGCCCGCCATTAGGAGCGCTCGCGCATAAATGGTCGTCTTGCGCGATCAGACGCGTCGCCGTGTGTAACCTTTCTATCGTCTCGCTGGAGACGTACGATATCGTTTCTCTTCTTCTCCCTCTCTCTCCCTCCCTCTCTCTCTCCTCTCTCTCTCTCTCTCTCTCTCTTTTCCTTTTTCTTGGTTTTTCTCGTTCTCGGGCAATGATGCGTGGGTTGTTGCACCGTCGTCACTGCTTTGCAATTAGACACCATTTTTCTCGTCTACGCGCTTTGGCCGTGTGAAAATTATAGCGCAATCTGAGCCATGATTCTCTCTCTCTCTCTCTCTCTCTCTCTTCCTCTGTCTGTCCCGCGCGCCTTATCGATTAATTGGCGCGCGGCTATAAAGATCACGCTCGGCTCCGAGCGGAGACAAATTTACGACTGAGCTCTCATTTTCCATTTGATGCTATCAAAATTTGCAATTACAGCGTTATATCTATCCGGTGAGACGCGAGAACGAGGACACCGGTCGGTTTCGTCGTTATAAATGAATTATGCGTCGCACATTTGTCACACACACACACACGATTACCAGTCTGACTGCGTCATTAATCGGGGTTTGCGATTTTGTTAATAATTTATAGATCTCGATCAATTTTGCCGCGGCCACGTCACGTCGGATGCTGTCAGTCTTAATTACCCGTGTAATGCGACGCGCGGGCAAACAGCAGTAATGGACATAAGTTTACGAGCGCTCGGCTGACGCGCTTTCTTCGGCTAATTATCGGCTAAGACTCGCGATGAATAGCGCGTTCAGGAAAACGTGACCACGGTAATGAACGCCGATAAGTTTCCCGTTTGCGTACCCGGCGGTAGCGCGAGAGAATTCGGGATATTAATTACGGTTTACGAGATGCGTCGCGGTTATAGCGGAGGAGGAGAGCCGAGACGAGGCGAGCCACACCGGGCGAGCACTTTCTATCAGCGACACTCGTCTCGAGCGGAGCGGCTCTTAACGAGCCGAAGAAATACACGATCGCGCGACGGAGCGTCTTTCCCTTGGTGGACGAAAAAAAAATTCCTGCTCCGTCGAGAATCGCTTCTGGAGATATTATTTTTGGGTGTTGCCCGCGCCCTCCACACGCTTCTTCCTCTGCGTTTCTACTTCTCTTTGTCGTCCTCCCCTGTCTCTCGCCCCTTTCTCTTTCTCTTTCTCTTTCTTTTTCTCTTTCTCTTTCTCTCTCACGCGCGGACACGACGTTAAAAGCTCGTTTGCATCGAACCGGTGCGAATACCCGGCAGTTCCGCAAGCAGGGATGTGCATCAGCCGGGTCGAAGTTAGCCGAGGGAGCCATTAGCTTAAAACTATTAGTCAACCATGGGCGAGAGCGAGAGAAAGAGGAGGAGGGAGGGAGAGAGAGAGAGAGATGGGGGGAGGGGATGAGATCTCGAGAGAAAGAAGCGAGGAAAGAGAGAGAGAGAGAGAGAGAGTGAGACAAAGAGGCAAGCAGGGGGGAGAGGAGGGAGGAAAACGAGCTTTAAAAGTCGTCCCGCTTATACGATTATGAGAATGGTCGGCCGGTACTGTGTGTTAAGTGCACACCGAGTATGTGGGTGTGCGACGGTCCCTCTTGCCGTACCGAAAGGCCTTCGCCGTGCTCGATATCCATTTTAAACCGGACCACTCAATTACGCTCAGTGTGCTATCTTCGGTGTTTGCATATCAATATGGCCCCTTGCCAAGGAGAAAAGATTCATCGTTCCACCCGCCGGGATTATTTAAGGACTCCGTCTTCGGGGATGCGCGACGGCGCGGCACAAGTTGCCGCCGGAGGATACGTTCGCTAGCGTACGTACGCGCGGAGTAAAAATACTCACGGTCATCGTAAATTTGCCGGCTACGAGCCGCGAGGATTAGGTCGCCGCGGAGCCGCGCCTTCGCGACAGGCTGCTGGTTGGTTGGTCGCCATTCTTACAAGTCTCCGCCGTACAAATCTCCGCGATATATTTCCCTCGCGCCGGGTGGTTCTCCGCACCAGCCGGCGCCCGAGACCCAGCCCGAAATCCTCCGTCTGTGCTCGTCCTCTTCCGAAACGGAAGACGGCCGCGCGCGCGGCCTCTCCATCGCGAATTTATTCGCTCGATGTTGCGTGTACCTTTGTGCGCGGATGTGTCATGTATTACCTGTGACATGTGCTGCGGTCTCGTCGCCGTCGATGCCATGTGTACCACGGAAGCCCTGGGCATCTTAAAATTGTCCTCGCCCTCGTCCGGTATCGTTGTTACCTGCGACATAATTACAAGCGACGATTAACGCGGCACCGCGCGTCGAGCTCGCAAAAGAGTGTGTCAACTGCTAAATCCTTGCTCCAAAGCGCGCAATTATCTCCCTCTCTCGTCTCTCATCCCTTCAACGGCATCGTGTACAATTTTCAACCGTTCGCGAGTCCGGCTTCTATATCCTCTCCTCGTCCCCCGATATCTTTGGCCTATTGCGAAGCAGAAGATTCGTTTATTCTCTCTTGTCTCCTCCGAGACAGCACAAAGTTCCCTTCGCACCGGTGATATTTTTATCGCGAAACTTTCTCTCGGCTGATAATACACTCTCCTCCTTTCTTCCGGTCTGCTGACCGTGCAGCAATTGTATTAGCTGGCCTTTCGGGACCGTCAATCATTTGTATTATCTTAGCGTCGGACGCGAGTCATCTAGGTAGTAAAGCGAGCGAGAGGCTTAAGAGAGATGCTGCTTGCTGCTCTCCGCGAGAGCTGTCATCGCTGGGTTATCGCTCTCGTCGAGGATCTCGTTGGACCGAATAACGAAAAGGCGACTCGGGGGCGCATTAAGTGCGCGAAAGTGCGCGAAAGTGCGCGAGCGATATCGAATCGCGAGTTGGCGCGCTCGCGCGCGTTATACTCGAACGAGCCGAGGTAATTGTCCGCCTGTGCGCGATGCGCCCTGATGAGCGCCCTGATCGCGACTCGTAGCTAGCGCGCATGTTGCAGATATATCGATCAACTCGCATCGCGAGAGATGCGGGAGCAAACGCGCGATAACCCGGGTTTACGCGCGGCCCATCGACCGCTCCCTTTATTACGCTCGTTCGGAGATTTAACGATCGACCGTTATTGCTCGAGGACCATCGTCAATATGGACGTCGACCTTAATGCCGGCGAATTTTCCTTGGAGCGTTTCCGGGCCGCTCGGGCTCTCAAAAAGAAGCTCGTCGTCGGAATTCAATCGGAGGGATCCGCCGCGCGCGTGCTGCTCGTTCTGTCTCTCTCTCTCTCTCTCTCTCTCTCTCTCTCTCTCTCTCTCTCTCTCTCTCTCTCTCTCTCTTCTCTTTCTCTCTCTCTCTCTCCTAACGACTCGCTTTCTCGCTTTTCTACAAATCACCGCGATAAATCACCGCCCGCCGCCAATTAAATCTCCCGGTAAATTTAATTATGCTCTCATAGTAGTTAAACGGGGCCTGATCGCAGGTCGTAGACCTCGTATGAATACATTAGTGCGTGCGAACGACGTAGAATATAGTCGGTGGACGGGTATATGGTATACGAGGTAACCTTGAAAGGGAAAATCCCGAGCCGGGTGTCGCGGACATCGCCGTAACCGGCGATCGAGTCGCCGTGAAATGACTCTATCTAAATCATCGTCGGCCACTCTCTCCCTCTCTCTCTCTCTCTCTCCATCAAGTGATCCGATCTGCTTAATCCGGCGCGTATATCCTTCTCATTGTTTATTTATGCACATCTGACGCGAGCGGGATCGATTCTGCCGATAGTTGAGACCGTGCCCCCGCTCTCTCTCTCTCTCTCTCTCTCTCTCTCTCTCTCGCGCGCGGCGTAATATTTAAGACGACATTAGATACCCGCCGACACACTCTCGCCGGCTCTTTTCGATATCGCGCAATCGCGTGAATTATACCGACGGCTCGTTCGCAGCGTCGTAGAGGCACGTTCACGCCTTTCGTGATTTACCGGCGAACTGGTTTTGCCTGACAAAATTTTGCACGCTGCCTCGCGAACGCGCGCGCCTCGCCTCCAAGCTGTTTTCCCGGGAGACACGCGACAGGCGCGCGGGGAACGCGTGACGGAACCGAAGAGAATGATTGTCCCTAATCGCATCTAAAGTGCGATTAAGAGCGACTCGCACGCGCGATACCTCATACTTTGATGTTCGTTTGAGAGCACGGAGGCAAAATTCGTATACATTCGGCGCGCAAACTGCGACGTACGTACATTTACAAGTCACGCGAATACGTTTGAAACATTTTCTGACGACGAGCAGGCGGGCGGTCGTTTCAGCCGTTATCGGGTTCACGGAGATGCGGAGTGATAGCGAAGCGCATCAGCGAAAATCAATAAGGAGAAATAAGGAGGCGGGGCGCGAATTTTTTCCTCCTCGGCGCTAGTCTCGATTAATCACGCGAATTATCGATCCGTCGCAGTTTTGCGGAGATTTCTTGCTTTTTCTCGCTCCTCGTTGCGTCCTCGTTATCCGATCTCCGATTGTACCCTGTTTTGCTGCCACATGCTCCGCCCTTCGCCTCGCCGTCTCTCTCGTCATCATCAGGGCATTGCCGCCCGGTGGCGACGAATAAATTGGGGGGCTTTTCGAAAATCGACGAGATGGCGGATAAGTTTCGCAGAAACTACCTACCGGGCGCGATTTCTCGCGTTCCCCCCTCCTCCCCGTCGGCTCTCCTAGATCCGCCCGCGGATTTATTTCCCGAGCGTGCGGCGCTGTGGGCATCCCGGCAAATCGCGTCGCAAAATCAATATCTCGAGATACGCCGGGGAATACTGTGAAAACGATCGCGCGCACAGGATAGAGCTCCAGCGGATAGTTGCAAGTGCGACGTGTATAAGTTGCACACGTCGACTTGCTTCCGCCGCGCGTTCGTATCGCCGAACTGAAAATCCATCACGCGGCGAAGCAAAAAGAAGAAGGGAGTAATTATTCTTTCGTGGGAGAAATACGCTCGTAAAAAAGCGGGCTGCACGCGAATCGCGATCGTGCAGCGAGACGAGACACGCGTGGTGGACTCCCCTTCCCCCCCCCTCTCTCTCTCTCTCTCTCTCTCTCTCTGTCTCTCTCTACGTTTTTACACAAATAGTAGTTTCGTACAAAACAGTAATAGCAGTTTCATTGGTATCGTATTTTCGCTGTTACAATTTCGAGAATGTAATACAATATATTCCATGGGATATCGGAATATTGATAAAAATGAGAGAGTCGCGAACGTCGGCTGCGCGATTTATCTTTCTAAAGTGGAGCGGCGCAAAAACGTCGTTAAAGTGCTTCGTACTAAAAATTCCGCTTTGACCGCTCTTTTTCTTTGTAAATGCAGGACCGAAGATAACGAGACTGAAACGACCCTTTTTGCGTCGCGACTGTGCGGCTAATTGAACGGGCGAGCGGTAAAAGCGGCCGGCGAAAACGCTGGCCGGCGCGAGCGCGAGCGTCCATGTCTGAATTTATAATCTAACGCGTTTCATTTAGCTCCACCGAGGAAATTGTGTGAGGGTATTGATTGATTGGAGTCGCGTTTGTACGGCGGCAAGGCGGAAACCCGTCGTCGGTGTAATCCGGAAATTAATAAGTCCGTGCGCACACGAGTCTACAGCTACTCGTCGGAGTCGAGAGACTAGAGAGACTGGAGAGACTAGAGAATTCGCGATCGCACGGACGAAGCCGAGAGGATCTCGGGCCGCGGCGGCGGATCCTCGGCGGATAACGCGCGCTTAATAATAATTTCGTGTCGAGATTTAATAAGAGATGCCCCCGCTCGCTCTCTCTCTCTCTCTCTCTCTCCCTCTCTCTCTCTCGTTCTATCTCTCGCCGCGAAGAATGGCTGCCGCGAGCTAAAGGGGTTGGCCGCCGGTTCGAAATCGTTCCATCGCGCGTTCGAGTACCGAGGGAAACGTAACTTAATTACTGATTTTTGCGATAACACGGGAAGCTTCGTGCCGACCGTGCCGAGAAAGACGGAGAGAAGAGGAGGGGAAAAATAAATGGGGGAAGCCGCGCTGCGCGCGGCTCCACGAGAGGAAATGCACACAGAATCGGGCTCGCTATAACCCGCGCTCTATTAGAATTTTATCACAGCGCGCCGCGGGAACAAGCATACGGAATAATAATAACGCGATAACGCGGACTTAACTGCAAAGTACGGTGAAAGATACATCGGGCGCTGTACAACGACTTTTTCTCATTCTGTTTGTAGGATCGCTTTTATGTCCGCCCGAGACGCGCGCGCGGTGTCTTATCAACGTAAAGTATTAATTAATTACTCACTTGCGGATTTAATTATTTTAAGCTCGGCTCCACGGCAGGCCCGTTCGATGTTAAACGACGGGTAATTGCACCGTCCGCGCGATTCTCAGTGCAGCGCAGCCCGCGACTCGCCTGCAAGTCGTAACAAGCGATTGATGACCGCGTGACCGCGGCGTTTCGTTCGTATCGCAAACATCAGACAGAGACATGATTAACCCTTAAAAGCCCTACCATCGAATATCATTTCGAGCCAACTTTTCTTGTCGTTGCTTATAGCAAAATATATGCGAGAATTCATCTTCATTATAATGTTGTCACTACCGAGTGTGAATAAATATCTATAAAATTGGTATTATCAATGTTACGTTTTTTAATAAGATGAAAAATTCGCATGGGGTGACCGATCTCATCGATGGTAACTTTTTTTAATCCACACTCGACGTACGAAGAAGAAGGGAGAAAAGCGTTTCTGCGATGGAGGGTAAAACATTCGATCGATCTTAAATCGCGAGACTGAAACAACAACGGCAGTCGTTAGTGGAGTCTCGTGGAAATATTTTAACCGTGACTTTGACGTCCGCCCGACGTCCAGTATGACGAGCGTCGAGTGGGCTCACGTTGGAGAAACGGCACATGCTATGCGGAGCGTCTGCAATTTTCGTCGGCGCCTTTTTACCCGGGCCGTTTCTTACCGACCTTTCGCGAGAGCCGCTCCGCACAGACGGATTTCATTAGCGCGAGCGTTCTTCCGCTCCTTGCGGCGGGAAAACACAAGACGGGGAAATGAACACGGAGCGGAGGTATCACTCGTTAGGCCGAAACTCGCTGTGCACCTACATCCCGCTCTCGAGCGAAATGTTCCGCGTGAAACACTCTGCGGAATTTCGCCAAATGGCGAGAGGAAGAAGAAGAAGAAGAAGAAGAAGAAGAGGACTCTTAAACGCACCTAATATCTCGACGCTCGGGCGTCGTAGAAGGAACGCCGAGAGAGAGAGAGAGAGAGAGAGAG